ACCAGGCTGGCCTTGAACTCACAGAGATCCACCTGCCTCTGCCTCCCGAGTGCTGGGATTAAAGGCCTGTGGCACCATGCCCGGCTCTACATACTTTTACTAAATTTTACCTACATAAAAACATTTAACCATTACTGGGAACTATGGTATTTTATTGAAAACTACATTTGAACTTATTTGTGTATTAGTATATAAATCAACTAACCTTTCAAAATTTTTTTTCTTTCAGACCTGAAGGTGTTATTAAACAAATCACTTGAAATTACTAAAACAAAAACTGTAGAATTTGAATAATAATAACCTATGCAAAATGAATTTTGATGTTTTTAATTTTGATTTTTAGTCATGTGGGATCAAACACAATGTCTCAAACATGGTAGGCAAGTGTCCTACTGCTGAACTACATATACCCTAACCCATTAAAAATTAAAATTCATTTTAACAAATAAAGGACTGAAACAAAGGCAATACAATAACACAGTGGCACTGGCTTTTAATCCCAGCACTCGATGCAGAGGCAGGTGGATCTCTGAGGCCAGCCTGGTCTATATATTGAATTCCAGGTCAGTTAGGGTTACATAGTGAGACCCTTCTCTCAAAAAGACAAAAACACAAAAATTTAAAAAAATTCTCCACTGATTTTTAAAAATTATTTTTATTTTATGTGTAGGAGTGTATTGCCTGCATGTATGTAAGTGCACCTGTGTTGTACAATGCCTCTGCAGGTCAGAAGAGGGTGTCAGATCCCTGGAACTAGAGTTACGGATGGTTGTTAGCTGCCATGTGGGTGTTGGGAACTGAACATGTGTCCTCTGTAAGAACAGCCAATGCTCTTAACCCCTGAGCCATCTCTCCAGCCCCTACACTGATTTTTTTAAAGATCAGTCTTCTGACGTAGCTACTTCTAAATAGCCATTGTGATGGTTTGAATGAAAATGTCCCACACAGGCTCCAAGTATTTGAACATTTTGTCCCCACATGGTGGTACTGCTTTGGGAGGTTTTAGAAGGTGTGGCTATCCTGGAGGAAGCACGTCACTGGGGGTGGGCTTACAGAGTTCTTAAGCCCTGCCAGATCTCCAGTCATTCTCTTGCTTCCTGTGCCTGCCTGATGTGAGAGCTTCCCTTCTGCTACTCCTGCTCCAGACACCTCCAGCCACCATGCCTCCCTGCCATGATGGACTGTAATTCCCCTGGAGCTGTAAGCTCAAATAAACTCTTACTTCTACAAATTGCTTTGGTCAATGTATCTATCACAGCAACAGGAAAGTGACTAATACAGCCATCCACATTTTCAAGAGTAATTCTAGCATGTCAAGGCCATGCAGCCTTCAGGGAGCAACTGCTTTACAAACTGAAGATCCCAGAGCTCAGCCAAATCAACCTATGGGATCCAGTAAATCAAGCTTCTCAGACTCACACCTCCTTTCCATGGAATTTTCCTTATCTCTCACCCTGGAGGCAGATGCTTTTCTCCCAAGCAGTTTTCCTGTGTCCTGAGATCAAGGTCACCCCTCTCAGGAGTAATCACTGGAGGACAACACAAAGCCAAGCTAATTTCGTCATTAACTTAGCCTTCTGAAGTTATTCAGCTCACCTTTCTCCAAGTCAAAGTCCAATAGTTATTGCCACCCAAAAGAAAAAGTAGTCTCTCATTTACAAAATGACATGGCATTCTTTTTTCGTTTCTTTTTTTGGGGGGGGTGTCTTTTTTGAGATAGAGTGTCCCTGTAGCCCCAGCTGGTCTGGAACTCAGGAGGATGGCCTCAAATTCACAGAGATCCACCTGCCTCTGCCTCCCAAGTGCTGGAATTAAACGCATGCGCCACCATGCCTGGCTCACAAAATGGCATTCTTACATAATATAAAACTAAAATCACCCAAATTCTACTTACCAATTGGCCACTGTTGACATTTGTCCTACACAGTTTGATATATTTGATCATATTACCTATAATTTAATGTCTTTTTCTCTTTACATATAATGTTTGTTTCATGTAAAAACTTCATACACATTTTTTTCTGGCTGCCTAATATTCCAACATATTATCTATAATCATCTAAGAAGTTGAGGGTTGGCTCTTGGACACTGAGATCATTCTTCACTTTCATACTATTGTTAATAATGCTATATTGAACAATTACCCACAAATCCTCAGCACATTTCACCAAGTCAGAAATTTGACTGAAGGCACTTCATCTGGCCAGACATACTCACCAAAGTAAGTGTTAGCCAGTGCTTCTAGTGGTGGTAGTCAGGGGTAGGGGCATCTTTTACTTTTGTGTCTTAAACTGTATCCTTTAAATTCAGGGTTCCTGGTAGTTTGAAATAATGGCAGTGCTATTTGTGCTTTAAATTTCTTAGCAATAATTGTACTTTTAGCAGAAATAGTGGATATTTGAAAACAGATTTGAGACTTCATCAGAAACACCAGAGCTGGACAGTGGCACATCCCTGAGATCCCAGTCATAGGGAAGCTGAGGCAGGAGGATCCTGAGTTTGAGGTCAACCTTGGCATCACAAGTGGGACCCTGTCTCAAAAACAAAAGCAAACAAGATGGACAAGCAAAGCTCAGAGATTGAGTTTAAATGCCCAGCATTCCAGAGATGAGCTCTCATTGGTTTCCCTGTGAGCTGCTGACACAATCATCTACCTTACTCTATGATCCCTTTGGGGTTCAATTTAAAATTAAGGGTTTGGGGGAGATCACATGATCCCATCCCTAAATTAAAATTTCAAGTGATTAAAAATAAAAACTGCACACTTTAATGGGGTAGCATGTGCATACATTATACGACATTTGAATTGGGTTAAGTATGCCTATTTCATTTATTGTTTCTTCAGTGAAAACCATAATCCCCCCCCCTTTTTTTTTTACAGGGTCTCACTATAGCTCTGGTTGGTCTCAAACTGATGTCTACCAACCTTTGTCTCCCAGGTACTGGGATTAAAGCTTCCATGCCAAGCCCCTCTAGCTTTCTGACTATGGTCCATGACTACTATCTCTAGCCATCTATGTGCAATAGCACACCAGAACATGTGGCTCCTGTCTAACTGCACCTATTTGGGAGTTTCTGGAGACTTTCTTGCTTAGACATAATTGAAACATGGACAATTGTGCTGAAACATGATTGACTGCCCAGAAAAGAACAGATCTAAAGTGAATGCACTGGATGGGGAAACAGAATGGCCCGGCTGTTCAGTCTGCTGGTGGTTTGGGGCAGGACCCCTAGAGTCAGACAAGGCAGGTCAGAGAATTTGAGGCTGGCCTTCCCATAGCCTATTTTAGGAAGAGAAAGGAACAGGTGAAGGTAGAAGTGGGCAGAAGGCCAGAGAGATTTCTGTGGTGTAAAGTGCCTCAACATTCTAGCTGGTTACCAAATAAGAGCTGCAGTGTGAACCAGAAAATGGGTGGAAACTAAAATGTACTGTCATGGCCACAAATAATGTAGAAAACGCCATTTAAATCTGCCACCATGTGCCCGCCCTGATTCTCTTTCCCACTTAACACTGAATCTCTAAATAAGAACTCTAAAGGCCATGGACTCATCCTGCACTGACTTTTGGGCGGTGCTTTGTGTTGGTGTGCTGTATCTGTCATTCTATATCTTGGGGCCCAGAGCAGTCAGGGGCTGCTCACCCATAGGGGCTTCCACAGTGCAAATCCACTGTGTTCATCTTTCAGGTCTTTGTCTTGAATGCTCCAAGAATGTGCATAGGCAGTCTTTGCCTCCTGTACCTTGCTGCTCTACTGTACAGGGCTCATCAGTTGACATGCAGAACTCTGGATCAAATGCTCAGTGCTATGCAACAGTCATTGAACGGTTTATTTTCTATTCTATTTGAGTGTGCCATCTCTAAACAGTGCTGCAATAACTCTGACTCTCTGTATACACTGGTGGTATCTCTAAAACTTGATTAAATCCTCATTCTGACCACCCTGGGTTTACTCCTGAGCCCACACCTCTGTATCAGCTATCTTGAGTAATTCCTGGACTTTGCCTAATGGCCATCCTGGACAGATGGGAGATAAATCTCTATGCGCTTAGAGAATCACTTGTTTCCTCTGGATCAAACCTACAATGCTTGACCACGTCAACTGATCTGGGACCACAGAAGACAACCAGTGAGGACATTTACGGAGTATGAGTGAGTCAACCGACCACAACTTCTGTATCTGTCACAGACTGAATGTTTACACCTCCCGTCCCTGGGCTCCAATGGTATATTTGTTCCCTAACCCTAGTGTAGCTGTATTTGTAAAGGAGGCCTCTAAGGAAGTAATTAAGGTTACATGAGGTCATAAGGGCAGAATCCTGATCCATCACGACTAGCATCCTTATAAGAGACAGAAGTACACACCAAGGAAAGACCATGGAGGATACAGAAAGAAGGCTGTCTTCTGCAAGCCAGAGAATGCTGAAGCCAAACTGTCTTGAAATCTTGACCTTGAACTTCCAGAACTGTGAGAAAATATATTTCTGTTGTTTAAGTTATTCAGTCTGTTCATTTTGTTATGGCAGTTCCAACAGACTAATAACAATATGCAACACATTTACAATAGGTATACAATAAACCCAGGAATGTGGAATGTACATTGTTTGCTAAATTTTTTTTTTTGGCCTAACACCTGAAAAAGCTATTGACAATAAAGTGTGTGTGTGTATACATACACACACACACACACACACACACACACACACACATATATATATTTTTTTTCTTTGAGACTATAGCCCCAACTGGCCTGGTCACTATGTAGACCAGGTTGGCCTGGATCTCTGGCTCCTAAGTGCTGGAATTAAAGACATGCACCACCACATCCAGCTTCTAACAAACCATTTCAGTATGCAGAACTTAATGGCCTCTTGGACAAACACCCCATCTCACTTCAAGGGTAAAGACAGTACTAAAATCAGTAAAACACACTGCAGGTTTCTTAAGAACAAACAATCAGTACTGTTCCTTCAGAATATGTTTATTTGCTACAGCAAGTTAAGGCCCTATAACCCTTATCTCAAAGATCCTCTAGGCCTGGAGTCTCACATTCTACTGCACACCCATCCCAATGGCCATGAAGAACTGAGTATTTCCATGTGGAAGAGGTTCCCAGCATCCTTGGCCTGAGGATGAGGGCAGTGCTCAGTATCTGTATTTTGTTGAGTAGTCCTTGGGAGACACCACCAGACCCCGGCCTTTGCGGGCACCACGGTACACGGTCTCTATGATGTCAACCATCTCTTGCTTGTCTTCCATGGCCCAGTTGATCTTGTTATTGTTGCCAGTGCCCAAGTCAATCATGATGTGCTTGTTTCTGAAAAAAGCAAAGAGCACCAATATTCAGAAAGAATTCCAAAGATATGCCCTCAAGCTCTCACGCTCCTATTAAAGGCACAGATAATCCAAAGAGACCACAACTCAAAAAAAAAAAAAAAAAAGGATGCAAATGCTAAATAATTTCCAAGAAATGCAACGTTCTTTCTGTGCTCTGTATTTCCTGTGCATTCACATCTTACACTGTAAAGGGCAAAGGACAGGTGCATCACTTGGAAAAACAAATGGTTTCCCAGAGGATTGCACTAATTTTCTAGAGAGAGCAATGTGTAAGCTTTTCATGCTCTGTTTATGGGCATTTGATACAGATTTTACCAAAAGCTCAACTGTGTGTTGATCATTGCATTCATTCATGGCTATGACCAGGAAGCAGATAGCCCCTTAGACATTTATCTTCTAGAGGATAGGGACCTGTATGTGCACTTTCTGAGATAAAGATGCTAACCTGCTGCACTTGCACAAATGTCCCCAGGTTTGCTAAAGATCAATTTTTAGTTGTTTAACTTTCCACTACCACAAAATCACACACTTGGCTTCAGCTACAGTCCATGATCACACTCCAGTGGGTCTCAGAGCAGCTAACAGGCTAGCTTCTGTGTCAAACACTCACTTTCAGGATAACATTTCATGTCCTCGACTGGCCTAGGAATTTGTAAATGAATACTGGCATCTCTTCCTGCATATATACACATCAGACCTGTTGGGTTCTATGGCTTACTCTCTTGCCCACAAGTACTGAGTGCCCTTGCACCCCACAGAACTACTTCATGCTGGACTTCAGTTGTCACCTTGCTACACCTGGGAAAAAGAAACTTCAATTGGGGAATTTTCCTCTATTGAATTGAAATGTGTACATTTTCTTGATTTTTGAGCTACCACTGTGGTAGCACCACTGTGAGTGGTACTAGCCCTGGGCAGGTGGTCCTGGGCTGGGTCCTGGTCCTGGGTCCAGCCAAGAAGCAAGCCAGTAAGCAGCATTCCTCTGTGGTCTCTGCTTCAGTTCCTACTTTGCTTAAGTTTCAGCCTTGGCATCCCTCAATGGTAGACTGTCACTTGGAAGAATAAGATACAATAAACCCTGCTGGGCGTGGCAGCACACATGTTTAGTTCCAGCACTTGGGAGGTAGAGGCAGACCAATCTCTGTGAGTTCCAGGACAGCTGGGGCTACATGGAGACCCTGTCTCAAAAAGACCAGAAAATTTTTTTTTTTTTTCTACTCAAGCTGGTTTGGGTTTTTGGGTTTTTTTGTTTTTTTTTTTTTCCATCAATAAAAAGCAAACTATGTCCTTCACACCTGGCAGTTCTGTGTGATTTAGACAGGCATCTTTGGTATTTATGTCTCCAAATAAAATATCTGTCCCCTAGTGTCTGTGTCTGTGTACTTAGCTGTCTCTTCTATCAAAGTTCTGTGAGAAGAAGAACCTGGCTTATCTCACTCTACCTCCCAGTGCTAGGCAGTGAAACCTCGTGGGCACTTAGTGTACGTATTTGTACATATGGTGACTACTCATGCTACCTGTTTTAGAATTCTGGGTTGCAGAAGGAAGAGGGAGTATTGTCTTCTGAGTATACCTGTGGTCCTAAAGATCTCAAATACATAAAGTGTGCTCCTGTCAACACATCAACACTGTTTCCCACATCCTTTTTCCTTGCCTATTACTGTGTCTCTAGCCCCTAAGATGGCCCTTCTGTTCCACTGAAGTGATAACCTTGCTTCTCAAAAGAAAGGGGATTCTAGTTATAGAATGGGAATCATTGTGTACCACAGTTGTATGAAAAGTAGAACTTGTCAGTGATAAATTTCAAAAAAAGTCTTGGGGTGCTGCCTGCTTTCTTCCAGTGAAAGAAGAGAAATAAGTTGGGAAAAGAACAGTTAAATTCTCATCCTCTCCAGATGGTAAGATGCTGAAATCCAGTAATGGCAGCTGAACATGTAGCACAGAGAAAGGACAAGGACATGGCCATTGGACCTCATGCTGAAATGTGGAAAGATCACTCAGACACAGGAGACAACAGTGGCTGTGCCCCACAGTCCTCTCAACCCACAGGAGGTACTCAAAGCTGAGAGCATCATCTCTTGTTGCTCATCTTCCACTGGGTAGTAGAAGATACCTACATTTGCCTTACATCCTCAAACTGCAAAGGACAGAAAGGACAGTGCAAGGAGAATGGCCTTCAATGAAGCTGCAAAAGGGTGACACCATTAAGTTACAAATATAGACCATAAAGAGAGGGACTTGGGCAGACCCCTTCCCACAGGCAGCAGAGCTAGGAGGGTAATCTCAGGCCTTACTCCCTAACAAGTTTGCCCAGCCTTACAGGGCGTGGGGGCCCTCCTTTTTTCTATCCATTCCCCTACTCCCACCCCTTTGAGGCAAACTGCTCCCTGGGCCTGTCCAGTCACCCTGGAGTCTTATAAAGACAATATTAAGTCAATGATGTACTTAACAAGTGAGTTATATTTTAAACTGATAAGAACAGATACTACACTTGATCTTAGCCAAAGGGCCAAAAAGCGCTAACAAGTGAGTTATATTTTAAAAGGTTTTTTGTCAACAGATTTCACTTGAAAGTATCTTAATGTCATTAAGAATGTCTTCCATTCAATTATACTTCATGTAACTTTCTGGACAGTATTTCAAAAGGACAATTTGTTACTTAGTGAATGGTAAAACTGGAATTGTTACTTTGTACCAACAGACTTCACTCTAAACAAAAGAATCTGTCTCATTAAACTTCCAAACTAACAATATTCCATTTAAGTAAATTTAAAATAACATACCTGAAGAAAAACATGACAGTGCATGGGTCATATAACTCATACATTTTGTTGAAGTCAGGTACTTCTGTAATATCCACAAGATAAATAACTGCAAAATTTTTAACCTAAAAAAGAGATTTGAAGGAAAAAAAAAAACAAAACCTAAAATAAAAAGTTGATTTGGCTTTCATTTCATAAAAGCAAATTAAAACAAGAATTTGTGTTAACTGTACAATTTTTTGGAACGAGTTAATATTTTCCCACAGAGCTGACAAAGGAAAACAGCATGATGCTGTCAGGGCCCTGATCAATGGCTACTTGCAGCCCTCTGGAGAGTCATTTAGGAACTAGTTAAACTTGTCTCAAGCAGCAAGTTAATAGAGTCCTGAAACCGTCTATAACCATATTATTCCTACTACCTACCAAGGAGCCACATGAACTTTTACAAGTTTGTACTTTGACGAATACTCATTATATGTATTAACCACAGGCTCTAAGCATGAGTGTTGTTACGTGGCACTAACAGTTACTATCCCAAGTACTGAATTTCCTATAATTTGTTCCCTATAAAATCCAAATTCATCAGTTTAGGAAAAAAAAAAAAATCATGAAAAATTTAAGAGACTAAAATCACCTTCAAACCCATACTCAGCTGTGAATGTTGTTAATATTTTTGCTATGTTTTGTCCTACCTTTTTCTGGGTACATTTTAAATATTTATACTGTTCTGCCTGATGGCTAAGGGCTGGGATTATAGGCATGCATAACCATACCTGGTTTTCTGTAGCACTGGGGCTGAACCCAGCACTCTGTGCATGTTAGGCAAACACTCTACCAGCTGAGTTACATCCTTAGCCTCCACCTCTACCACAGCTTTTATAGCTGCATGTTATTCTATCAAATGGCTGTGTCACTATTTTACCACTCTTTGGTGATTTTCTTCCTGAGCTTGTAGGACTAACAATTATCCCACTATGCATACTACCTTTAAATTTATGTGGTACTTCATTTCCAAAGGATGATTCCTAAAACTCTGAGGCAGAGTGTAGTGTGTTCCTTAAAAACACTCTATGCCCTGAATAAACTTATACATACCACTGTTGAACTGTGGCCCTGAGGAGTCTTGAGTCCTGACCCCAAAACTGAGAAGTGACTTATCTGGAAAGAGGGTCACTGCAGATGAAGAGTCAAGATGAGGTTAGGGTTAGGAGGTGGGCCACCAATCTATCATGACCGCTACCTTTATAGGGACAGAGTTACATGACAGACATGGGGAACAAGGACTAGAAGATGAGTCTACAAGCTGAAGAAGCCAGAGACAGCTGGTTATTACCAGAAATGATACTGACCAGCCAATCAATCTATCTACTTTCCCTCCTCCCTTTTTGAAAAACCTGCTTTGTATTATTATTATTATTATTATTATTATTATTGGGTGTGCACCACAGAATGCTATGAAGGTCAGAGGACAATTCTCAGGAGTCAGTTTTCTCCTACCATCAGTTCTTCGGAAACTCAGGCCATCAGACTTATGTGGTAAGTTCTTTTACAGGAGAAACCATCTTGCTGCCACCAACTTTTTATTCTTTAACAGTGTCTCATTTAATCTTCACAAGAACTGTGAAAGGCTATACCCTTAGAGAGAATAAGTCACTAGCTAGCTCAAGGTCATACAAGAGTATATATCCACGTCTGATCGCAAGTTCTTTCCTAAATTGCTTTATAATACCCCTGAAGTATCAATATTGTTGATTCAATATTCATTTACCTTAGTTGGAGACTAAAGATGGCTCAACAGGTAAGGATGCTTACCACCAAACCTGACAACCTCAGTTGAAACTCTGGAACCCACATGGTAGAGAACCAACTCACACAAGCTGTCCTCTGACCACGTGTGTTGTGGCACATGCACGCACACACACAGTGAACACACACACACAAAATGTAAAAGGGGCAAAGAAAAAAAAAATTTAACCCTAGACCAAAACAAGATTTTCTGTATATTTTGGGTTATCTGATAGGTCTTGATTATATAGCAGACTGGCCTCAAATTTGCTCCGTAGTCCAAGTTGACCTCAAAGTTGGGATACTTCTGACTCAGCCTCCTGAGTGCTGGTTATTACAGGTATGTGCTACCATACCTGGCTAAGAATACCTTGATTTTTTTTCCTTTTGTGGTACTGGCCTCTTGCACATTAGGCAACAGGATACTATAGAGCTACACCCCCAGCTCTTTTTCTATTTAAAAAAATTTTATTATTTTTATGTGTATGAGTGCACTGCCTGCATGTATGTGAGTGCACCCGTGTCATGCAATGCTAAAGGTCAGAAGAGGGCATTGGATTCCCCTGGAACTAGAGTTAAGGACAGTTCGTAGCCACCATGTGGGTGCTGGGAATTGAACCCGGGTCCTCTGCAAGAGCAGTCAGTGCTCTTAACCACTGAGCCATCTCTCCAGCCCCTTTTTGTATTTTCATTTTGAAATGGGCTCTAAGTTTTCCAGAATGACTTTGAACTCACTTTGTTGCCCAGGCAGGCCCTGAACTTGTGATCCTCCTACCTCAGCTTCCCAAGTGCTAGGATTACAGGCATGCACCATCAGGCCCAGTTCTTTTATTTACTATGACTAAGAAAGACTCTTAAAACCCTATCAGTTGGCCTGGGGAAACAGCCTAGTGGTAGAGTGTTTGCTACATGTGCAAAGCCCTAGGCTCATCACCTGTACTGCAAAGCAAATGAAAACATATCACCTGGGGATGTAGTTCAGTGGTAGAGCACCTGCCTAGCATAAGCAAGGCCCTGGGTTCAAATCTGAGCACCACAAAAAACTATCTCTACTCCCAAAATAGTTTATGGGTAAATAACATGTTATCTGGGATCTGCTTTCAATGCTGCAGCATAAAAAGATGAAGGCTAGAGAATACCACACTGGCAAATACTGTAACTGTTGAAGTTGATAGAGTACTCCATGCCACTCTGTTGGTAATATTAAAAAAACTAGTAAGGAAATTAAAACTAGCATTGTAAAGTGACAGAAAGTTTACACTTAACAAGGACTCCACTAGTCTTCCATCTTCGGTGGAGAGGATCTTAAACTCTTACACGGCACATTATGCATGGGCTTCACTATCTACATGTCATGGCACATACTGGATGTAGGCCTCCTGTGTGCAAGTCTTAGCACACAAGGAATATGTGCCTCACTGTGTACATCTCATACTACATGAGGGATGTGTGCTTTCCCATCTATGAATCACCTCAGAAACCCTCAATGCCATGCCCTCACATGGGGTGTCTGCCTCTTGGTGGGATCTCACTCTCAGTGAACACTATTTCTGAAACTGTTTTCCCATAGCACTGTTGTTGAGACTATTGGTCATGAGGACCCAGTTTTCACAGCTAACAATTTCTGGTCTTATTTTAAAATAAAATAGCTCAATTCAGAAAATACGGAAGCCGAGACCATGAACAATTAAGAGGATTAGGAATGGAACCCAATTTCATTCTCTTCAGTGTCTTGCTCAGGATCAAACACATACTATAAATACTAACCACATAACCTTATCAATTTGGGGTCATTTAGTAATCAAGGAAAGCAACTGAAACGAATGCTAGCTCGAAGATACAAGTGTTCCTCCTGGGCCTTCAAGCTTGATCTGGCTCACCATCCACCCCCTGCAAATTCCACGTCAAATTCACATATTTTAGGAACGTATGAACATTTATTTTACTACAGACTGGCTCAGAGTATTTGAGAATCTACATGTGCAAAGAACTTTGCACTCATTAATTCTAATTCTTTGAACAGCCTTAGCGACCTTAATTTATATAGAGACTAAGACTCAGAAAGATCATGTGGCATCAAGCCACATGGGAAGCAGCAGCGCCAATACCTGACCCAGGTCTGCCCCAAGCCCATCCTCTAGATGAGATTTTCCAAGCAGAGTCATAGGGAATTTTTCTGCCTGAAGAGGCAGAGGGAGGAATCATGGAGGGCAGGAATCATTCAGGTAGAGAATTCAACCCATAAAGACAAAGACACAAGCCAAGTTCCAAATCTAGCTCCTAGACAAGAAAGCAGAGTGTAGAACTCTCTTCCTGGAGAGCCAGACTACAAGAGCCTACACATTGTGAGGCTGGGCTGAGGAGGCATCCAAGTGCTCACTTGTACAAACTCAGCTTGGGAAAACTGAACACCTGGACAAAAGCGCTAAGGTGGTGCTTGGCAAGAACCTGGGGCTGAACCAAAGGGAACAAGATTAGGGAGGCTACCTCAAGTTCACCATTTGCTTCTAGCAGGGCCCAAGCCAGCCAAGGTAGTGCTGATGTTAGGGCTTCCGCTTTAGTGCAGAAGCCCCTTACAGCTGAGAACATGAAAGAGAGGGGCAAGGCACAAAGGGAAAGGCAGGATCAGAAATCCACATAGGGAATGAGAGGTTCACTTTGGTGATAGAACAAGTATTTACTATGAGTTAAGTCTCCAGCATCAAAAGCCAATCAATAAGAACATCAAGATAGGTAAGTCTAAGAAAGGAACTGTGTTGAGGCCATAGAGAGCTTTAGTCAGGTAAGACTGAAAAGCTCTGACTGTGGTTCCTGGATGGTCATAGTGCCAGTGCAAGACAGAGCAGGAGCTGCATACACACTGGAGCTCTGATGAGAGGGGCATTAGTGGACAACTCAGGAGAGGTGTGGCTGTGAAAACACAGGGCAAGTCCCTGAAGATCCTGGGAGACAAGACAGAAGGGCTGAACACGTATAGGAGGAATGGCATCTCTTCAGGCCCCCACTCCCCTCTTCTTGGTGAAACAAGAAATTTATGAAAAGAGGTGAGCCTAGTGGGCAATGTGGATCACCCCAGTTGAGTGCTATTCTCATGGTTCTGCGGGGCATTGAGATGAGGAGCCAGGGGGAGAAAAGGGGTGAAAAGCATTCACAGCAGAATTCCAGTTTGCTGGCAGAAATTAGCCTTCCAAATTTTAAAGTTCTGTCAATATCCATGTGCCACTAAGCAGAGATACTCCATTACTTCACATGCTTTACAGCAAAGTTATCATTTAAAATAGTTATCAATATTATTGCAAAAAACAAGAAGTAACTGTCTCTTACAGCACTAACAATCCAATGAAAGGTCAGAGCCTGTGGAAATTATTTACTCAGTAGACTCTCAGGTCCCCAAGTGAAAATGGAAACTGACAGAAGAACCGTATCGCTCGAAAATGAAGTATTTCACCTATTTTATAAATGAGGACACACATTCTAATGACTTCACGTAATTTTTACACTAAATACTAGTTTATAGTAAAACTTTCAGAAATAGGTCAGTAAAGAAAAGAGAGCTGTAGGGCTGGAGAGATGGCTCAGCAGTTAAGAGCACTGACTGTTCTTGCAGAGGACCTGGATTCGATTCCCAGCACCCACATGATGGCTACGAACCATCCTTAACTCCAGTTCCAGGGGAATCCAACGTCCTCTTCTGACCTCCACAGTATTGCACGACACAGGTGTACTCACATACATACAGGCAATACGCTCACACACATAAAATAAAAACACTAAATATATTAAAAAAGACAGCTGCAGCCGGGCGTGGTGGTGCACACTTTTAGTCCCAGCACTTGGGAGGCACAAGCAGGCGGATCTCTGTGAGTTCAAGGCCAGCCTGATCTACATAGTGAGTTCAGGTCAGCTGGGACTACAGGGAGACCCTGTCTCAAAAAGACAAAAAATAAAAAATAAAAAAGACAGCTGTAACTGACACCATGGTGCCTTTTACCTTCCTCTCTCAGCATTGTGGCGTGGCTCTTCAGATCAACACGCAACCTCTAAGGGAGGAATCTGTTACCTCCAGAGTGACCTTAGAACCAATCCCAAAGCACCAGGAAATGCTTAGTAACCAATGAACTTCTACAACAGATGTATTTCTTTTTCATACTTTTATTTTTTCAGGTTAGAGACTGCAACTTAATTACTGCTTGTCCTTTTAAAATCTTCAACTTCTGCTTGTGTGCAAGTCCACTATTTGTCACCTTCTCCCACCGGGAAAGGGAAAAATTCTTCCTCAAAGTGGAGGACAGGACATATGCAGTTTCCAGAGAAAGCAAGAGTAGGTAACATCCACCAGAAAAGAGGGAGGGGCCATGAGGACTAACTTGATGCTCAGCTTGGACACTATTCCAAGAATGAAAACCCAGATAAATAATGGCAACACTGAAAGCTGGGGAGCTTCCAGAGTCATCCTGCTTCCCATTTGGCATTGTTAAGAGGGAACCTGTAGGGTAACCACAATCCAGTGACTGCTAACAAAATAATGGCAGGAGAGTGTGAGCCAAGGAAGGTTCTGTCACGGCAGTCCTCAGGCTTCCTTGGCTCTTACACAGCAGGTTCTGTGTCCAGGTATGCCTTCAGGATCACAGCAGGGTACATGGAAGGTGGCTATTGAAAGCTGAAAATGGCAAGTCATTCAGGTCAATCTGAGATGATCCCAAAGCAGATACTGCAGAGCAGTTCAGGTGAAAAATGTGGCTGAAATGCAAGCTGTGGTGCTCAAGCAGGACCTATGAGGCAGAATCCAAGTCCTGCGAGCTGTCCTGGACATCAGTGCTGTCTTTGCTGTCACTGCCACTGTCATTTCCAGCCAGGTTTTCCTGCTCACAGGCCTCTTCAGAACCAGGAAGAGTGTTGCCCTGAGTGTCCTGGTTCTCCCTGGAGCCCAGAACCACGTATCTGCTCTTCTTCAGCACCATCTGCCGTCTCAGCTCATCTGCCATCTGGGAGAGATCACGCTTCATAGCGTAAGCATCCTCCCCATCTGCATAGTACTTGGGCTCTACCTCACTAACCTGGAAGTTGAGGGTGTTAGAATAAAGGTGCAAGGCTGCCCGGTTACTCTTCCTGACATGCAGAGACACATACTTAGCACTAAAATTCTCAATCATGGCCCGCGAGGCCTGATCCATTAGCTTCTGAGCCAGGCCAAGGCGCCGGTGTGAACGTTTCACAGCCAGTGAGGTGATATGACCATGGGGGACATCATCAGGGTCCTCCTCCATTTTGGCCAGGACATAGCCCACAATCTTCCCATCTTCGTCCTCAGCAATGTAGGAGAGCTGGGGCCAGGATAGGCCATGGTAGAAATAGTATTTCATCTGGTAATTCTCAGGAAGGCAAAGGAGGTTGCAGTGTTGCATGTTCATCAGGTCATCTGGCCCAGCACGGCGGATGTTCATTTTGGCGGCAGGAAGAAACCCTGTCAGACTGCGGAGAACCAGAGAGGATGCCACGGACCACAAGCGACACCAACAGCTTTAAAACAGCTGGGATATCCAAACAGGGCTCATAAAAGATGAGGAAGATCTCCCACTAGCTTCCATTTCTTTTCGGCGATGCTGTACAGAACCTCGTCCATCTTCATGCAGGTGGGGTCCCAGTCGTGTCCAAAATGAATGATGACCACACAGTCTGTCTTCCTCCAAGAGAATGGCCTGTTCTACCTGCCAGCCATTGTGTAGATTTGTGAGCATGTACAACATCTTGAGTGGGCCTGCACGGCAGGGTACCGTGAGCCGCCTTGTGTGCATTCAAGCAGCTGGATCAACTGATCTTCCCAGCCACAATAACATTTTCAAAGAAAATATTTATTGAAAATAATTCACCTAATAAATGCTAATCCACTTTTCTCAGAAATATGCACTTCCAGATGTGTCCTTCCAGTTCTTTCGCTATACTTTTATCTATGTGTGTACCTGTAAAGAGAG